GGACAACTTGTCACACAAAATCCTCCGTTGAGTGAAGTATTCAGTGACTGAATTTTTTTCTTATCTTAAAAAATTAACTTCTTCATACAAATATGAAACTCTAACAAAATTCCCTTGGGTGAATCGATGAGATAGATTCTTCTAAAGATACTTAGCATAATCAATCCACATTATGCTTTGAACTATTAAAGGAGATACGGACCTCATGATGTAAGACAGGATGGGAGTATTATATCTCTTCCATGCTCTGTACAAAGGATCGTTCTTGTTTTGAACAAGAATTGATCCACCTATGAAACTCTACTTATTCTTAGAAATTAGTGCTAACTTCATCGAACGAGACCATAAGTGATAATTATTACCTATAGAATGGTAGTCGTGAGCTAAAGCGTCGAGTTCTCATTCAGATGAAGGTAATATGGATTCAGCACCTTTATATAGATGTCTGGGATAGTTCTAAATGAATAGAAAGACTTGAAAGATAAAATTCTATCCCAAAATAAATAATAAAATAATGATCTATCACAATCCTAATCCGAAAAAATTAATTAGTTAATCATAAGGGATAGATTTACGTTAAAATAGTAGTAACTAAATTAATAAAATAATTACAAAATTATCCCATGTAAAATTTGGATAAAAGTACATTGAAATTATGCAATTCAAAAAGGAGTCCTTGTAAAAGAGAGAAGAGAAAAGAGTCCAAAAAACTCACAAAAGGAGCTGCAAAGCGAGCAGCATGTTGGCCACGCTCGGGCTGCGTGTGTGGGCCACGTGAATAGGTCACCTTTATAGACTCGTGTGTGGGGCTGGGCTGCATGTGTGCTAGGCACATGTGTGCACTTGGTTTATTGGGTCGTGCGGGCATGTCTGCTGGGTCCACGTGAGTGCGGGCCTGCTTGCTTACTGGGCCGTGTGGGAGGATCTATTGTTTGGCCTAATTACACATACATGTTGGCTTGCTTACTTGCTGGGCTACGATTTGCGCACATGTTTAGTGCGTTGGTCGTGTGGGACTAGCTGTCTGCACATGTTTGTGTTGTGTCACGCAGAAGGTGGTATTGCATATACGGGTGAGCTTTCCTGCATATGTGATGGTCCGCACTTGCCGAAGGCAAGTAACATATGTGGCACCTACTGTCTGATATTCTCCTCAAGGCCAGTTGGCCTTTTTTGGGCCTTCTTTCGAGCTTAATGCTACCTTGGTTGAAAAGGCCTTGAACCCATCTCTTATTGGGCCAAAGGTTGATCTTCTATCTATCTTGGCAATTCTGTAAGCCCACAGGCTCTCTTATAGGCCTCAAGCCTATTCTTTTTTCTTGACTTAGATCTCTAGGCCCAATTTGATCCAGGTTGGACCTTTTTTTTTTTACAACTTTTGGGCCTTCAAGGTTGTCTTCTTCCTGACCTAAACTTGGTCATAAGGTTTGGACCTCTTTAGGTACTCATTGGGTCGGGTACTTGGCCCTATGCATAAGAGCTTTGCGTTCTTCTCTCTTGGGAACTTATATTGAGTTTCAAGTCATTCTTTAGACGAATTTAGGATCTAGACTATTACTAGACTACTTCTTGGCTAGGATTCTCAGCCCCTTCAAGGGTGGACTCGATTTGGACTTATGGGATTGATTTTGGCCTAACTGGGATCACATAAGTTATTTTCTAACCAATGAAGATACAGGCTTCATAAAACACATGATGAAATAGTATCTCGATGAGCTCCTCAATGTCTAATAATGGATCCAGATCGATAGAATAGTCACCCAATTCTTAAATTTTGTTACTACTATCATCTAATCTCTTATGTATTCTCAACTAACTTAGAAAAGATGCCTAGAGAACCAATGTTTCGATCATGTGGGTGAAGACAATGTTAGTGTATGCGATGATGGTGAATGAGCTCTAATTACTTAAGGATGAGAGGTTATAAAATGTCAAATGTAGGATTTCATAAGTCAAGATATTGTAGAGTTCTTGGTATGGAATTGTCATGACAAGTTTGTAAAAAATTTAAGGGCCCAAGCTACAAGGTCGATTGGTAAATGGTACCCAAAAGGAAAAAAACATAAGGGTAAGGAGATTTATACGCATCCATGAGAGTTTTTACAGCAATAGCATCACGATATACTTTGATGAATGTTGTTTAAACGAACTTCAACAAATACTTTTTGTGCAAGATATGTTGGGTGCTAGGAATTATAGTCAGTTTAAGATCAATTCTTCTTGTAGAACACATTTGCGTTATTCAACGAAAACTAAAATGAGGAAAGCTGTAAGAAAGATCGAAAGATATGTGTGCAACAGACCCAGTTTGAGATTATATAAAGAGCTTTATGTGCACGAAAGACCTAGTTTAAGAGATGTCCTAGT